TGGATGGAATACGTAGAGAGTTTTGGTCCAGAATGGGTCTAGATGGAGTGGGAGGTTAATTCTAAAATGTACAAAACTCACCAAGCGCTTTGCTCCTTCGGTGACGTGAGTGTGTGAGTGTACGTGTGTATACAGATATATATTTCAATGCAGCATGGAAGTACTGGGCATTCTTGGAAATTAGTCCTAGCACAGCGCATTTGTATTATTTAAGATAAAAAAAATGTATAAGAGGAAAAATATTTAAATGGAATAAATAATATATGAGTTTCACATCCTTGTGTTTTTCCATTTTATTCTAATACAGGACCTTCATGTGTGTTTACGTGTTTATGTCGTATATTAAAACGGCGCATGGATTAAATTGGTTTTCACTGCCACAAATAAAAAAATTCTGCACAAATTGGAGCTCTTTAGGGACTTTATTGCTTATGTTAATACTGACTGATGTCATGCAAATGTTGTCCATTGCGGGTCATTTTCATAATGATTTCGTTAAGTCAGTAACAGATTTCGGTTCAGAGTTAGAGTGATGATTAGTGCTGAGAGCCATTTGTCCACTCTGTGGTGTGGCTTTAGAGCAGCTCATAGCCAGGCTGTTGCAGTGGGATTCACTTTGATGGTTTATATCAGTGGTTCTCAACCAGGGGAGAGATCGGAAGGGGGGCGCAAATTGTTTTTAAGAAAAAAAACACAGACAGGGCATCATTTGGGTACTTGGTGTATTTTATTGTTTTCAAATATAATATGCATAAATGAAAAACCCCATGTTCCCTCTCCCTCTGTATTTTGTTTTTGCTGGGAGGGGCGGAGCTTGCCTTTTATCTAGCTGTCAGTGCAGACCAGTGTTGCCATCTTAGCGACTTTCCAGACCCCTTTAGGAACTTTTTCACACAAAAAAAAAAAACACCTAGTGACACATCTAGTGACTTTTAGCAAGTTTCCAAATATCACCAGTACTGTCTCTGTCTCTGCGTCTGCTCTGTTCAGTGAGGTGCTGAGAGACCGAGATTTAACAATGTCATGGATAACGAGACGCACCCTTCATCCCAGTTTGCATCATTCTAATGTGAAAGTTTTTAGAACGCAAGATGAATGTTATGCAACATGGTTTACATCTAATTAAAGTAAATTAAAGTAACTAAAAATGTTCAAAAACACAAAAGCAAAAATATCTATAATTTTTTTTTTTATTTTAGATGGGGGGGGTGTGTCACACGATAGATTGGGCTTTAGTGGGGTGGGGGGGGGCTTTAGTTATAAAAGTTATTATATTGGTTTACATAATGAACAAAGACTTTCTTAAGAGAATTAATAATGTGTTCTTTGTGGTTAAAAAATGCTTCACTGTTTGTACTACTTTCTGCAAAGAGGAATTAATTCATGGGGTCAGATTTTATTATGCTGCTACTGAACAAACGACGATTCATGCTTAATGACTCTTTTGGGTTTCATAATCTTGTCTTTGCAGACCGTGTGGAGGAAAAAAATGGTGATGTTTAGACATGCAAGCAAAAGTTAAAATCAAAGAGTGTCAAAAAGTGTAAATGTAGACTGATGCCATTAAGCAAGTAATGGGCTTAATATGCAAACAGTGGACAAATTTTACAGGTATGTTTAGGTGGGTGGATTTAAATTGTATTTATTTATTTAATTGATTAATTTGATTTCAACCGATTTTCTATAGTTAAGTTACTAGATAAATGTCGAGGCTGAAGGAAAAGACCGAACAGACATGCGCGTTGGGGAAACAAGTCAGACTGCAGCTGCCTTACAAATAATTATTTTTGCATAAACGATAATGTTCTCCTCATTAAGTGTACCATTAAGTACATCTGACCTGTAATTGTGGTTATAACTACCTCTCTATGTCTAAGTACTGTGATCTCCTGAGCATTAGCATAATATTTAAGTTTAAATAATGAAAAACACAAGCTGCACTGGTGCAAATTTACCACATGGTGTCATGCTGAACCACCACACCACACTGACCAGGACTCATATGCTGTACATCTATCTGCCAGGAATGAAGTGCTACTCGCTGACCAGATTTATGGAAGCTTTTATAGGGTCCCTGCTACGGTAGTAATAATACACATGAATGCTCCAAAATACAAGCTGGTGCCTATAGAGACTGTCGATTTTCATTAGTCCTGCACTGATGGGGATAAAGTTGTTAAATTTGTACCTCAGGGTACATTTTTATTCTTTTATTTTCCCCATGGTATCTAAAATGTGAATCACAGTCCTGGGAGCCAAGCTTGCTATAGTTGGCTCTTCTCAATATCAGATCTTGTGAAATGAATGCAGTGGTGGTACTGTTTAAATTTTAATTAACTGGGTTCCCTTCAAAATGAAATTCATTGCTGGTGATTTAAAAGTACACACTGATAGCCCCGAGAGCAAAAGCGCTCATTTTGAGCAAAAAGTCTGCCCTACCATGCAAACCGTCTGAATGTGTTGACTCTCTACTGGATATCCATCCATCCATCTTCTATACTGCTTTATCCTTTCCAGGATCACGGGGAACCTGGAGCCTATCCCAGGGAGCATCGGGCACAAGGCGGGGTACACCCTGGACAGAGTGCCAGTCCATCGCAGGGCGCAATCACATACACACTCACACACCCACTCATACACTACAGACACTTTAGACATGCTCTACTGAATAACTTCAACTCGAAAATGATCAGTGTTCTGGATGTGATTGCACCTAAAGTCCTTTATGTTTACTTCACTAATGTGTGAAGCTAGACAATCTTCAAATCCTACGGTCTCAACTAACTTTTTAAAACCGATTTTTAACTCTATAGCAACAGACCTACTACAAAGCATAAATGTCTTACTCATATTGCGCATTTTCCTAGCTCATTGAAAAATGCTAAATAATTCGAGACCCATTTGAAATGTACCTTTCAACAGAAAACTACACAACCCCAATTCCAAAGAACGTTGGGACCGTATGAAGAATGTTCATAAAAACAAAGAGGAGTGATTTGTAAATGTACTTTGACTTGTATTTAAACAAAAAACGTATAAAGACAGGGTATTTTATGTTTTACCTAATCAACTGCATAGTTTTTTTGTTTTTTGTTTTTTTAAGATAAATGTTTATTTTGAGATTGATGTTCCAAAAAAGTTGGGATGGGGCAATTTAGGACTAATAGCGATGTGACAAGTTGAAGTAAGAAGGTGTTGTGAAACAGGTGAGGTAATCGTCTAATCATAGTCTATAAGGAACCTCCAAAAAAGGCCTAGTCCTTCAAGAGCAAGGATGGTTCACTGAGCAATCTGCTCACAGATGCTTCTGTGAATAATCCAACACTTCAAAAACAACATTCCCCAAAGACAAATTGGTAAGATTTTTGGCATTTCACCTTCTACAGTGCACAATATAAAAGATTCAAGGAATCCGGTCAAATCTCTGTGCGTAAAGGGCAAGGCTGAAACCCCACTTCTGAATGTGTGTGATCTCCGATCCCTCAGACATCACTGTCTTAAAAACTGCCACGAGTCTGTAATGGATATCCTGACATGGGCTCGGGAATACTTTTGGTAAACCTTTCAGTAAACACCATTCGCCACTGTATCCACAGATGCAAGTTAAGGATTTACTCTGCAAGCAGAAGCCATACATCAGCACTGTCCAGAAGCGCCTCTGACTTCTTTACCCGTGCCCATGGCTTGCTAATCTTAACCAACGGGTGTCTTCGCTCAGCGCACAAACACTTAATAAATGGCATTAAAAGAAAATATGATGCTGTACAGTGGTCTGTCCCAACTTTTTTGGAGTGTGTTGCAGTCATCACATTTGAAATTAGTATCTATTTAAAAAAAAGTAAAACATCAAATTTTGTCTTAATAATGTGTTTTCAATATAGTACAGGGTGAATTGAATTTTCAAATGACTCTTTTTGGTTTTTGTTTCCATTTTGTTTCCAGATGTGTAATATCTGCAAGGTTGCAATGGTTACTTGGTAAATGTGCACTTATATAGCACTTTTATCCAAAGCACTTTACACTGTGTCTCATTCACCCATTCACACACCTATGGTAGCAGAGCTAACTTGCCATCGGGGTTCAACTTGGGGTTCAGTGGTTCGCCCAAGGACACTTCGGCATGTGGAGTCACCCAGGCCAGGAATCGAACTGCCAACCCTACGATTAGTGGACAACCCGCTCTACCAACTGCGCCACAGCCACCCACTTCTACTACTTCTAAGGTCTCTATCACATTAGCTAAGGTTAATGTTCTTGAGTCCACCATCAGGACTGAATGGTGTACATGGCAGAGTTGCATAGAGAAAGCACTGAACATTGTTACCCACCTGCATTTGCTAAAGATCACATGGACAAGCCAGAAGGCTATTGGAGAGTACATGGAGAGTACCAAGTAATAAGTAAAGAAGCTTCCTTAGGTGCTGGTAGAATCACACTTGTCTTTTCTTTTACTATATTTAGTGGAGTAGAATATCCTTAAACAATGCTTATGGTTGTTAAAAAAACAACAAAAAAAACAACTTATTTTAAAACTCAATTTAAGCATAATCCGAGTAATAGATTGTATAGTTGTAGTGAATAAATGATACAGTTTGAACATCACATTGAATAAATGTACAAACTGATCATATGGTAATCAGTATAAATGTTTTCCCCTATTATGTGTTTTAAGAGAAATGGCATCATTATGTCTTTTGAATTAGGCTTTTATACTATCCCTTAAGGGTATGTGAAGGATGAACCATCAGACTCTCTCTCTCTCTCTTTGTACATTTACATTTATGGCATTTGGCAGACACCCTTCTCCAGAGTGACTTACATTTATTTAATTTATACATCTGAGTAGTTGAGGGTTAAGGGCCCAATGGTGGTGGCTTGGTGGTGCTGGGATTTGAACTTACAGCCTTCCCATCACTAGCCCAACATTAACCACTGAGCTACCACAGCCCCTAAAGACATAATGGACATTTCCAGAAAGACAACGACAAGCAGTTTCTGCAAGGCTTTTGACAGGGATTGAACCCATGATCTTCGGTTTACGTGACCGACGCCGTCCCACTTGGCCATCATGCCTGTAATATTGTAATATTTTGAACTCATGCACTTGGTGACCTTTAGGTTGTCGCAGGCAGGATAAAATTTCACTCTGCAGCTAATGCACAGCATCCAGTGATTACAGCACCAGAACTGACACTAATGTTTATTATTATTTAGCATTTTCTGGCTTTGCTACCTTGTAAAAAATCCTGTAGCATATCGCACTTAGAAATGGAATAATATTACTAGTAAAATCATTTCCGATTTCCTTAACCTATTACTGCTGTTGCAGAGCTAGCTCAGGATTTAGTTAATTGTAAGAAATATAGAACATTATAAGAAGAATAGAATAAGTCCAGAGGCCATAGAGTCCAAAGATGTCCTTCATAAGTTGCATAATGATAATTTTGGTTGCGTATCTATATTAGATAGCTGCATTACGTGTTACTATGCAAATTAGGGCAGTTGTTTTAGTGCATTATTTAAGTTGTTTTATAAATAAGATGGTTGCCATGTCAAAAATTGTCCTTTTTTTTTTTTTTTTTTTTTGCACCATTATTAATTTTTGCTAAGGCTTTTTAATCTTTACAAAAAAATTTGGTTGTAAAATGTGGCTTGGAGAGACACAGATGCATTTACACTTATACAAAGTGGCTAAAATGTGTCCCAGACCACCTCCTTAAGTGCGTTGTGCAATCAGTTTTACAGTATATCTGTTTCAAATGCTGTTCAGGTATATTTACACTCCTGTTTTCTACGGTGATAATCTCCATCCGCGTATAATCCTAACACTGATGATGCACGAAACAACAAGATGTAAACAGGATCTTTAACTGTCCTTTTGCTTTAATTTTTAAAGCTCAATTGGGAGACACACACTCACACACTCCAAACCAAACTCCAAATTGCTTGTGTAAACATGTTTTAATTAGCTTTAAGAGTTACTTACATACTAACGTGTGAATGGATTTCAATGGAACACTTAGCAAGCTGTAGTCAAAATTTTCTGAGGCTCAAAATGTTTTTCTCAAAAGGTGTTCCTTCTGGTGGTAATATGTTGTTTGGTCTTCTGAGAGACTTTTTTCCCCCCTGAGAGACATATTGAAGCTGTTCTGTGTGTGTGTGTATATATATATATATAATATATAATATATATAAAGTTGAATAACCGTCAAACCTAGAGTCCCAACTGCTACACCATTACACCAGAGAAGTGTTTGAATTTATATTACATTGGCTTACTGAGTGCATTCAGTAGTCTAAGGGCAGAATGAGTTATGGGGAAAACCACTCTGAGATGACTTTCTTTGCTCTTTCAATGCATTTCCAGACCTGACTGATGTGCAATTCACATTTTTCTTCTATTTCTCATTCGTTCCCACAGAAATAGGTGTAATTTTAAAGTTTTAGCGGAGTCAAAACTCTACTCTCGAGGCCACAACAGGCATCCTGATTAATCAGATAACTCATGAATATTTATAAAGCTTTTTTTCCCCACTCAATCATCATAAAATGGATTTAAATGCCATGGAAACAGTTTGAATACACAACAGTGCGCTTGAGTTTGATAAGAAATGCACAGTGTGCTTCTGTTTTTGTTTCTTACTTCATTAGGATTTATGGTCTTTTATTTGATTTTGATTATTGCTCAGCAAGTAACGTGGAATTGTCCAGGTCAATAATCCGCTGCAGGTGATTGGATTTCATCCCTCTTATATAACTCAGCCAACTTTACTGTAAAAGTGTTTATAAATTTTTTACCTGGCTTTAACCATGAAGGTATTCTGAATAGCCCACCCAATTACTGTATTCCTCATTTTGTGACTCCCATTTCGCCAATTTCTCTCTGCACAACAAACGTCTCATGCTCTGTCAGGTTGGATGGAGTGCATCACTCTCCAGAAGTGTTTCAGTTATTAAACTGGTTAAAACTGGAATCATGTTTGGTATTCAGTCCTCCGAATTGGGTGTGTAACAGCATGAAAACATCATGGTGTAATAACTATATAAGTGCAATATTATTATATTTACATTTACAGTTACATTTATGGCATTTGGCAGACGCCCTTATCCCGAGCAACTTACAGAAGTGCTTTGAAGTCTCTTTCAATAAATGCATCCTGATACTGGTTCACTAGGTCACAGATTAAGAATACCATCAGTCTACAAACTCTGTTGCGGAGGTAATACAATAAGAAAAGCTTTTTTAAAGTGCTAATTTAAATATGTTATGAGATAAACCATAAGTGCTTTGAGGTAAGTGGGCGCTGGTCCGTTTGTTGGCTTAGTAAGCAAGCATCTATGTTTTAAATCTGATGCGGGCAGCAACAGGAAGACAGTGGAGGGAGCGTAGCAATGGGGTTGTGTGGGAGAACTTGGCAAGGTTGAAAACAAGTCACACAGCTGTATTCTGGATCAGTTCAGAATTCAAATCTGGAGCAGTTCAGAGTTACAGTAGTCTCAATATGACAAGGACTGTACAAGCACCTGAGTGGCCTGTGTGGATAGAAATGGACGAATCCTTCTGATGTTGTGAAGGACTAATCAACGTGAGCGTGTCAGAGTAGCGATGTGAGAAGAAGAGGACAAACATGATTATCCATGGTTTCCCACAAGGTTGCGTGCAGAGACGAAGGTGAGATCTGAGAGTTGTCCAGGGAGATCAAAAGATCCTGACGTCCGGATGTCAGGACAGCAGTTCAGTATATCAATTTTCAGTTTTCAATTTAAAGTTCAGTTTCAATGTATCACTACATCATGTGATTTAATAATGAAGATATTAAATTGCATTTATCACTAGTAACCTTTAGTAATTGATCAGAACAGTGTAGAAATACAGGACTATAAAAAAGTCTTAGGCACTCTTTTTTTGTACAAGAAATGTACATTAGTTAAGAAAGTGATATTTATATACTGTAAAAGACCACATTTCAGACAAAAAAAAACACACAAAAAAACAATGATGGCTGTCAGGTTTAACCTGCCAAAACAAAAGTAAGTGTGAGTCTTCAGAAAATGTCTCCAAGTTGCTTAAAAAAAATTGCCAGCCAATTTCCTTATACAAGTGTGCGAAGTATACCTAAGACTACTGATGTGTTTTTAAAGGCCAAGTGTTTTACACTAAACATTGACTTTAGTATATTTCTGTATACTGCTCTTTATAGTAGTTTTTTTTATGTTTCATTTCATTATCATTTCTTCACTGGTATATTTATTCTATAAAAAAGCATGTACCTCTTTCTTTAATTATTGTCAAACATCTTAGTTGGCACTTAATTTCATGTAGAATGTTGTTAATAAAGTTCTTGTGAATCACATTAACAGTGTATTTCATTATCATGGCATACTGCCACATTTGATACTGTACACTGTCACACCCTTATTTGTATAATTTAATAAAACATAATAAAATTACTTACATTATTAAAGTTTTTTTTATCTCCTCTCTCAGTTTCTCTACAGCTGTTAGAAATGATGACCTGCATTTCAGATTGCTGATCAGCTTACTTCGTTGATGAGATGAGATTTGATGTAGGACAAAACATACAGTAGGATGAAGTCCAAAATGAAATGTCATTGGCTTTGGGGGGAAATAAAAAAGTCCATTTTCTTTCATGTCTTCAAACTGCTTGGGACAAGGCAATCATAGCTTCAAAAGCTTTAGATTATTCCTTGTCCATCGTGATTTTCATTAGAAGATAAATGCATCTACTTCAGTCTTGAAAGATATGAAAGATAATACCACAATAAATCAAAGATACATTTCTGAGGGGGGAAAAAATGAATGAGTTCATATTAAAATGTGGAGTGGAGACTAATACATAAGCCTAGTGGAGTAATCAAAAGTCTTGTTTCTCATGCATTATGGTAATTAGTTCACACTCCTTCTGAAGTGATTGGACGTGGTGTTGGTGGCACAGAGGAAGTGGTGAATGAACAAATTGCCTGGGCTGTTCAGACGAATCTCACGGTTCTTGGCATTAAAATATCTCGGCCTCCAACATAGCAAGAATATGACAAATGCTTTTTTTTTGGGCCAAATAGACGAATCACAAGTATGCTGAAAATACAATTAAATGACATTCTTGGCTTGTTCCTAGAGGGGAATCAAGATTAAAGCAAATAGAGTCTGTAAGTATAATGGTTACTTGTGGATTCTGTTTCTAGTTTCTGTATGATAAACATGGACCAAACTAGTTAACCATGCTTCTTACTAAAGAAAACCCCCCCAAAAAAACCACAAGTTAACCAGACTGCATTAATCTGCATTAATCAGTTTTTAATTCAGGAAAAAGTCTACAGCTTGCAGTAACTATCTGATTGACAAGCCATTGAGTGTACATAACATTGACATTCACAAATGTCATTTTCGTCATTCAAACGTCATTCACAAATGTGTGAATAGCATATTAACAAGAGTTAGAATAGCACAGTAACAAGAGGGGTCTGGTTTGGCTTCTCATCATTAATTTTTATGTTCATGTGTGAATCATATCAATTTCCTATTCACTTCTAACTGGAACCATAATGGTTGTACTATGCACTTATCCCTGGGATTTTTAAAAAATGTTATTTCTCTATGTTTTCATAATGGATGCATTGTTTGTGAAATTATTCAAATGATAATCTAAAAAAAATGTTAACATTTATGACAATTCTAGAACATTTACAAGAGGCCTCATCAGTTACCATTTTAACATCAAAACTAAAAACGCGCCTCTTCCCGCTTGCGTTTTAAAATTGTTGTTAGTATTATTATCTCTTGCCATTATTTATTATTTATTGTGCCCTGTCTTTATTTTTAGTCTCAATTTTAGTCTTATGTTCAGCATTTTGGGCAACTATTGTTGCTGTAAATGTGCTTTATAAATAAAACTTACTTACTTATACTACAATACTGTGCAAAAAAGGCCTGAAAGACCTTCAAGCATGCTGCAAACTTCATTCTTTTCCTTCTTTTTAAAGATACATCACTTTCATTGTTTCTATTCTATTCATATTGGCATATAGTAAATGAAATCGATTTCAAACTTCAC